TTTTTTTCTCTTCAATATGATGCTCTTTTCCAGTAAGCTACACTGCAAATGCTGGGGTCAGTAAGATTTTTTAAGAAAAAAAATTATATTTTTAATTCAGCAAGGATGCATTAAATTGACCAGTAAAGACATTTATAATGTTGCAAAATATTCTATTTCAAATAAATGCTGTTCTTTTTAAACTGCTAAACTGGAACAACTAATTTTGTACTTAATGCTGTTTAATTGTGTTGAAGTAGTGCTGAAGTAAAACAAAATATATACTGAAGCATATTTGATTGTGTTAAAGTGGAACTATTGCAAGTGTACTTCAGGTGTACTTTAAACAGCACAATGTCATTTGTGACCCTGGAGCACAAACCAGTCTTAAGTAGCACAGGTATTTTTAGATAGCTCAGGTATATTTGTAGCAATAGCCATAAATACATTGTATGGGTCAAAATTATATATTTTTTCTTTTATGCCAAAAATAATTTGGATATTAAGTAAAGATCATATTCCATGAAGATATTTTGTAAATTTCCTACCGTAACTATATCAAAAGCTAATTTTTGATTAGTAATATGCATTGCTAAGAACTTAATTTGGACAACTTTAAAGGCGATTTTCTCAATATTTTTGATTTTTTTTGCACCCTCAGATTCCAAATTTTCAAATAGTTGTATCTCAGCCAAATATTGTCCGATCCTAACAAACCATACATCAATGATCAATGATAAATCTCAATTTAAAAAATTGACCCTTATGACTGGTTTTGTGCTCCAGGGTCACATACTCATTAAAGAATCCTGGTAAAAATGTATCACAGTTTCCACAAAAATACTGAACATTGATAATAATCAGAAATGTTTCTTGAGCAGCAAATCAGCATATTATACTGATTTCTGAAAGATCATGTGACACTGAAGACTGGAGTAATGATGCTGAAAATACAGCTGCGCATCACAGAAATAAAAAAAATCCCCAAACTAGTGTATATTTGACATGACAAAACTCACTGTCCTCCCTCTCATATCAGTTGGGCAGTGAAGTATTTCCCTTTTGTTAATCGGTTTGTTTAAATTATTATTATTTTTTTTTTATTTACTTGATTGACTGATATTTTGCAGTGGCTGATGCTTATCTTATAAACTTTTTTTTTCACATTTGTTTGTTCGTTCTTTTGGCCCAATAGAAACTGTTTCTGTTACTCAGCTTGTACTGTAGTAACTAGTTCTTTAAACAGTACGCTTTATCACAGTCTCCCTGTTCCATTAGCTTGTAGCTTAGCAAACTTCAGTTTGAGGATGCTGATATTGTTGTGTCGGTGTGTATGGCAGCTGATGGAGCGAGGGCAGCTGCTGCTGACAGCTGGATCCACAAACCCTGTTCATCACGGACCCTGGTAATCAAGGCCTGGCCGATCAGGTTTGTCCAGCTGCCGCTGCCATCTCTGAGCCGAGCACAGGCCACCGCTCGAGTCTGACTGTAGAGCGATCGCTGTATCAGTGCCATCTGATCACTGATCACTCAAGCTTTCTGAAGAGCCTGCTTCCACACGCCAGAGTTCTGGATTATCCACTGGGTCGCACAGGGTTTTTGAGCTTTCCCAGCTCATAGTACTTTGTTTTCTCACCAAATGGCATTACTTTTTTATTCTTGTAAGTTGCATTTTTATTAAAGTTCATAGTGCATACTGGTTGACCTTTTTCTGCTTGATTCCTCTGTGGGTAAAGCCTCTGATCTCAAACACGTTATGAAGGAAATGGAATTGTTAAATTACCCATGATTCCCATTCCTACATTTTCTTAATGTTTTTGAAAGAAACCTGATCATCTTCTGATTATCAAGGCTGCATTTATTTGATTAAAATATTTTGAAATTTTTTTTTTTTTTAAATAACTGTTTCTCTGTGAATGAATGTTTATTCTTGTAAGTTGCATTTTTATTAAAGTTCATAGTGCATACTGGTTGACCTTTTTCTGCTTGATTCCTCTGTGGGTAAAGCCTCTGATCTCAAACACGTTATGAAGGAAATGGAATTGTTAAATTACCCATGATTCCCATTCCTACATTTTCTTAATGTTTTTGAAAGAAACCTGATCATCTTCTGATTATCAAGGCTGCATTTATTTGATTAAAATATTTTGAATTTTTTTTTTTTTTTTAAATAACTGTTTCTCTGTGAATGAATGTAAATGTAATTTATTTAGATTTTTACTTAATTTTCAGCCTCGTTACATTACTGTAGTTCTAATTCTAAAATGCTAAATGGCTCCTCAAGAAACATTTCTTATTATTATCAATGTTAACAACTATTGATAATAATCAGACAAAACAAATTATTACATGGCCATGATTTAATAAAATGAAGGAATAAATTCTTAATCTGTGGGCACAAGTTCACTAAAATTAGAAAAATAAACAATACGCTCTAGGAACTAATTGTTAATTTGTGGCCACAATATATATATATATTTTTTTATTATTATTTATTTTTTACAAAGAAAACAGTTGTGCTGCTTAATATTTTTGTGAAAACCGTAAAATGAAAATGTCTTCTGTAAACAGCAAATGGCTGGAATACACAACATGCTTTCAGCTTCAGAATCTGATTCCATCCAGTCGGAGGAGATCAAACGTGTTTGATGCTTTGAGCCACTTTTAGAACACATATTGTTTTCATTTGTCATGTTTCTTCTAGCAACAAGGCGCACATTTCTGCCTGAGTTTGTTCTGATTGGAGCGATTTTAAAGTCTGGTAGTGTGTGATCCTCAGTCATTTAGTGTATGATGCCTAGTGTTTAAAAATCCGTTCAGATTGTAAAAGTCGTGTAGTGTATTACATGTAGTGCCTTAAGAACGGCTTCAAATCAGGCAGCTCCCTGACTGCTGCTGCGCTGAGAGTTAATGCAGAAGGGCTTTGTGTAAGCGTGTAGATCAGCCTGCGCTGTGAGTCATTGGGGTAATTGGAGACTGTGGGTGACATGAGGGCCCAATCTTACACAGAGAGATGGATTGCTCATTTTCCATTCGTGGGCACTGGATGTAAAGCCTTTTTCTGCCGCAGCGAAGAGAGACGTTACATCTCTGAACTGAGACGCTCATGGAGCCGGAGAATAGAGCCATCCATTAGCATTCACACTCATCTCAATGGCAGCTGATCGGCTGGAGCCTCTGGAAATACACGGCCTTGGTCATCAGCACACAGTTACACACTAAATAAAAAAACTAACTAACTAACTAACTAAATAAATAAAAATACTCTAATTTGCCATCAGAGGGTTGTAGTTACAGTGTCGACCAGAAGGGGCAAACAGCTCAAATCTGACTGAGCCGACAGGTCAGAGACCCAGTTGCCATGGTTACAAGTGACCTTTTGACCTGATTCACTCTGAGAGCCATGGCGGGCTGCATGTGAAGCTGCTCTTCTGTGACTCGATCGCTCGTGTTGCTGGTGTTGTGTTTTCTGCTGACTTGTAACGCTTGTCTTTGCTGTTTCCCCACAGGTTTGGATGGAGTTACCACAGATCTAGATAAAAGAAAAGAAGTCTTCGGGCAAAATCTTATACCTCCAAAGAAGCCAAAAACTTTTTTACAGTTAGTGTGGGAAGCATTACAAGACGTGACCCTCATTATCCTGGAGATTGCAGCGCTGATCTCTCTGGGACTGTCCTTTTATCAGCCGCCTGGAGAGGGCAGCGAGTGTGAGTATCTGGTGTTTCCTCTGTCATAGACCTCCAATTTTACAACAAATGATTTGCAAAAAAATATATATAGTCCTATATATATACTACTGCTCAAAAGTTTGGGATCAGTAAGACTTGTAATGTTTTTAAAAGAAGTCTCTTCTGCTCATCAACGCTGGATTTATTTGTTCAAAGATACAGAAAAAAACAGTAATCTTGCTAAATGTTATTACAATATTAAATAATGCTTTCTATTTTAAAATACTTTAAAATATAATTTGTTTCTGTGTTTATTCAAAATATAAATATTTTCTGACAATATAAATCTTTGCTATCACTTCTTATCAATTTAACACATCCTTGCTGAATAAAAGTTTTAATTTCTTTCAAAAAAGAAAGAATATAAATGTACTGACCTCAAACTTTTGAACGGTAGTGTATATTGTTAGAAAAGATTTCTATTTTAAATAAATGCTCTTATTTTTACCTTTTTATTCATCAAAGAATCCTGAAAAAAAGCATCACAGTTTCTAAACAAATATGAAGCAGCAACAGTTTCCAGCAATGATAATAAATCAGCATATTAGAGTGATTTCTGAAGATCATGTGAAAGCATCACAGTTTCTAAACAAATATGAAGCAGCAACAGTTTCCAGCAATGATAATAAATCAGCATATTAGAGTGATTTCTGAGTATCATGTGACACTTTACACAGGAGTAATGATGCTGAAAATACAGCTGCGCATCACAGAAATAAATTAATATAAATGTTAATGTATATTAAAATAGAAACCATTATATTATATTGTAATAACATTTTTGATCAAATAAATGCAGCCTTGATGAGCATAAGAGACTTCTTTAAAAAACATTACAAGTCTTACTGATCCCAAACTTTTGAGTGTATATATGCACTTCTTATTCATTTATAAATGTAACCAAGGCCACACAGTGTTTTCTAGGCCCCCACAATCCAATTGCTCTAAACCTGTATGGCTTTATTTGTTCTGTTCAATGTGAAAAACATCCCAGTGCTTTTCAACCATGCAGTGAGAATCAATGGGGTCAAAAATTTCAAAATATTTATTTTCCACAAAACAAATCAAAGTCAGAATTTGTAGACAGTATATGTCACTTTAATATTGAGGTTAGTTCATATGTACCAGTAGTTTAACAGCTGCTTTTGTACTGTAGGTGCATGTATGCTCGTTCGCTGCAGAGGTTTGATGTAATACTAATGTTATTATGTTCACAGTTGCCCCAAAATGTATGTTGACACTTCAGCCACATCTTATATTGTGTTATATTGCACACATACCAATCCAGTGGTTTGCACTCAAATACTGTGCAGGCTTTACGCAGGTCTGACTTCACTGACCGAGCCAGTGTTACAATGACTTCTAACCAGCCGATGTCAAGGTGGTTTTTAATAGATGCCAGTTTCCAAACATTCCCTCTAGGCACAAAATCTGGTGCTCATGGCATCTTATTCTGGCCAGGTACCGAGAAAAGAGTCTGAGTGACGTGTAAAGCGATCAACCACAGTTAGTTTAGTTTTGACATGCTGCTGTTTAGGGACAGAGTTACCTGAAATACACACTACCACAATATCAGAGCAACTATCAACCATAACCACAATTAATCACAGACACCTTTTCAACACTACTTTTTTTTTTTTAAGTATTTGAAACAGGTTCGAGGTTTTGATGAAATGTGTGTTTGTGCATCTGCCGTCACTATAAATGGTTTTACGTGCAGTGACTTCCAGACATTTTTAAGTGTGGCTGAAGTGTCCAAATACACTACAAATGGTAAGCATCTGAATTAACTGAATCCATCACCTAAATACTTTGATTTATACCAACAAAGCCCATTTTATATATTTAATCAGGTAGAAATAGCTCTTTGAGGTAACAGTTGCAAGTTAGCATGTTTTACAGTATATTATTTTAAGTTTATAATATGTAAGTTATATATAATATCCAAACCTGTTTTCTTTACTGGACGTCTGATGGTTGAAGTGCACAATGTCCATCAGCAGAGCTCAGCAGCTCTTGTCCGCGAGCATGACTGTGCATTCAGAGTGAGGGAATCCAGTGAACGAACGCTTTCCAGGCCTCTAGAGTTAATGAAGTGTGCGCTGGAAGAATAACCTTTAGGTGAAGGCCATACATCAAGCCACCGGGACATAAAATGTGCAATGAACACGAAAGCATTAGAGCAGCATAAAGAAGCTCACAGAATGCTGAGCAAGTGTTATCAATCACGATGATGCTCAAGGATTCAATTACTCCAGGAATGGAAAATGATCTTTTATTCCAGTGCAATCTAGATGTGAGCAGAGAATAGCTCACGAGATCTTGAAACTCCTGGAACAGATACTCTTCACTATCATGGAGCAGTTCATGTGCATGTTAAAAACAAAGCTGCAATGCATGTTACTAACAAAGCCAAACTAACTACAAAGGGGGTGAACACTTTTTTTTAGCTGATATTATGATCAGATTATATGATTATGTGAATCTGGCATAATATCATCAAAGCTATAAGAATAGTTAATCCAAAAATGCAAAGTTGCTGAAAATGTGCTCGCCCTCAGGCCATGCAAGATGAGTTTGTTTCTTCATCAGATTTGTAGAAATGCTGCATTGCATCAGTGTCTCAGCAATGGATGCTCTGCAGTGAATGGGTGCCGTCAGAATGAGAGTCCAAACAGCTGATAAAAACATCACAATAATCCACAGCACTCCAGTCCATCAGTTAACATCTGGAGAAGACAAAAGCTGAAACACATCCAGCATTAAGACGTTTTTATCTTCAAACCGTTGCTTCTGGCTAAAATTCGAGTCCATAATAACACTTCCATTCTGACGGCACCCATCCGTTGCTGAGCAAGTGATGCAATGACACATTTCTACAAATCTGAGGGTGAGCACATTTTCTGTTTTGGGTGAACTATTCCTTTAATATAATAATATGCATATGTGCACTGAACTAATGAAGCTAAACAACACTGAATCTAAACCACAGCTATAAGATGATAGGAAAGGAGCACACCGAAAATAGCAAATAACTAACTGAAGAATATGTTTCATTAATGTGACAATAGCTCGGCTGTTTTCAAAGTGAAGCAGCTTTTACAGTAAGGACCTAGTTTGTCCAACAAAGGGAGTGCTCATTTCTTGTGTTTCATGTCATATCAAATCTTGCATGAATCTTCACAATTGAATGAGCTGTGAAGGAATAATCGAACATGCTCTGAAATGATCCTTCCTTTCATATATATATACCATAGTGCTGGAATGGACAATTCATTCTAGTCAATGGGCTTGTTTGGACAGATCATTTACATGAAGTTTGCATTTTAGGTTTTCTTTGTTTATAAGAACACTTAATGAAATGCTGTTGCTGTTTTGGACTAGTTCATGAACCAGGAAAGCTCTGCTTAAAAGACAAATTATATTAAAGCATTTTATATGTTTATAATGACATTGTCCCCTTGAGAAACTTAATGTAGTTAACTGCATTCTGTAGCTTAATTACTTTCTGAGACGCTTGTAGCTTCCCTCACATGGTTCATCATAAGCATTAATATGCAAATTGCACGCTAGTATGCATGATACACCTGCAGTGGACTTTTAATGATCACTAGGAGTGCGGCGGTAGAGAAGAGAGTCTGCAGATGAAGCGTCCGCACAAACATGAGCTCCGCTGCCATTGACTCTGAGATTTGTGACACTTCTTCTGCTTTTAATGGAGAACGGCGCTGTCTGTGTCTCGTAAGGAAGATGAATTGCACCGCCGCTCCGTGTGTCCAGACATCGCTGCCGTTCAGATTGAATTATGCCCGTACAGATCTTCAACCTGCAGCTCCCGCATGAAGATAAGCACAGGCAGCGTACAGATCGATGCAGGCAAAATCTCTCTTTCCAGCCGAAGAGCTGGCAGCAGCACATTACACCTCAAGAAGGATCTGTAGCTTAAAATACATCATGAAGGTCATTTATTCACATA